TTTTGGGAGGGCAAAATGGTAGTGGGGAATTTGCTTTGAAAATATTATGTACCTCCACCTGAAAGCAGCATATCATGGCAGGGGAAATACAGGAGGTAGCTGAGGTCTTGCAGCAGACTTCTGAGCATCGGCTGCCCCACGGTGCCCTCAGTGTCTCAACAAAGGAGGAACCTGTGTTTTGTAGGTCACAGAGCAGGATGGGGCTCCAGACAGCACATGGGGTTCAAATGGACTGAATTTCTACAGCTTCCACAAAGGATATTACAATTAGGAGTCATCCTAGTCCACACAGTCCAAGGCAATCATCATATTTATAATTATAAGCTACAAGGGGAAAGTTTTCCTTTCTTGAGCCATCCCTCATGAAAACTCCTTATCCAAGGAAAGGGTATGGGAATCTCTTAGCAGAAATGACAGGAATTCAAAGAAGGGGTCATAGTCACCTTCCCTGTGCAACAGAAGGGCTCTTGTGACCCCAAAGAGATGATACTGCAAAAAAGGATTCAGAGAAGAGTCAGTGTAATTCCAAGTTTACTTTGGCTGTCTGTCACCAGCTGCTTGAAGACTTTAGTGCTGGACCAGTGTTGGAAGTGAAGGACATGGAAAGATAATGCTGCAGGGGAAAATTAAGTTCTTTGCCATGATTGCTGCTGTGGGGAGATGGAGGCTGTGGCCATCCTTGTGAGGAGTCTGCCTCAAAGTTAAGAGAGGTGAGAAACAATGTGGTGACCAATATGGATTTGAAGATGGTCTGATGAAACACTGATTCGTGCCCAGGAAGAGATACAAGGGAGGGATGTGACCTTGCAGGAGTTGTCCCACTGCCTTCACATCTCTTTGGATGAGATCTATGGTATCCTCACTCCCAAGGAAAAAGGATGTGCAGGGCTGTAATAGAACCATAGCAATCATAGAATGTTGGGTTGGAAAGAACTTCTAGAGATCATCTAGTCCAAGGTCCCTGCAATGAGCTGGGACATCTTCAACTAGATCATGTTACTCAGAGCCCCTTCCAGCCTGATCTTGAATCTTTCCAGGGAGGAGGCATCCACAACCTCTCTGGGTAACCTGTTCTAGCATTTTACCGCCCTCACTGTAAAAACTTCTTCCTCATACCTTATGTAAACCAACCCTCTTCCAAATAAAAGCAATTCTACCTTGTCCTATCACTACAGCCCCTTGTAAAAAGTCTCTATCCAGCTCTCTTGTAAGCTCCTTTTAGGTACTAGAAGGCTGGAAGGTCTTCCCAGAGCCTTCTCTTCTTCAGGATGAACAATCCCAGCTTTCTCCATAGCAGAGGTGCTCAAGACGATCACCTTCATGGCCTCCTCTATACTCACTCCAGCAGGTTCACGTCCTTCCTGAACTGAGGACCCTAGAGTGGGATACAGCACTCCAGGTGGGTCTCACCAGAGTGGAGTAAAGGGACAGAATCAACTCCTCAACCTGCTGACCATGCTGCTTTTGATGCAGCCCAAGATGCAGTTGGTTTTCTGGGCTTTCAAGCACATGTTGTTAGGTCATGTCCAGCCTTTCATCCACCAGCACCATCAAGTTTTCCTCAACATCATCTTTATTCATACCCAAGCCTGTACTGGCAGTGGAGTTTGCCCCAGCCCAGGTGCAAGGTACCAAGTGATCTTTGGCCTGTGGCCTCCAGGCTGGGCTCCTTTTGCCTTTTTGCCCATGTTTTACTTGTTCTTTGAGGAGGCTGTACCCAGGTGGGCTGCAGCAGCGCTTTACAAACAGGCTGTGAGGAGCCTTGCCCAGCCAGGTAGGGCCTTACCAGATAAGGTGGGCTGATAATGAATCTTTGCATCTTCACCCTGACCAGCACCACCTCTGTGAGCTTTGCAAGACCCATTGTCTAAGAACCATAATTTGTCCTTAATCTTCCCCCTAGGTACCATATTAATCAATGTTTGTTTTCTTTTGCTTTCAGCAGATTCTCTAATTATTAACCGTGCAGAGGACTTATGGTTTAGTGCGTGGGTTACTTCCTCTCACTGGGGGAAGGTGCTCTGCACAAGCCAGGGGCTTATTTGCTCCTTGGTGCTCCTGAAAGATAAGAAAGACATTGAACAATGGGAGCCAAATCATCTTCCTTTTTCCCTCCGTAACCATTAGTTTGATTCATGGTACTTTTTGTTTGTCACTGATGAGTAATGAGCTATTCCATCTTCACCCTAGATCTATGCAGAAATGATAGGTGCACATCACACAATGTAAAAGACATGAGGATTTAACCCCTCAGCCAACAATGTGCTGCTAACAACTTGTGCCTTGAAAATAGTGTTGTGGTAGCAGAGGGGAAAAGTTCTTTTTTTTTTTTTTTTTTTAATCTACCTTTGATTAGGGACATACATTTTTGGAGTGACAGCCTGCCAGAAATACAGTGTTACACAAGCTCTCATCATCTGAACCAGCATCCAGGAGTTGCTAGCTTTTCTCTCTCAAGGTCATCCTGTTATTATGCAATTACACAAGCAAGGCAGAGAATAAAGGTGTAAATAGACAAAGAAGGTTTTGACTCACTCCCATGAGCACAGGGCCTTTAGGACTGCCCATTTAGGTACATATATCTGAAATATTTCCCATGTTTTCTCTCAATTTGGCCCTTTTTTAGTTCAGCCCCTACATAGTCTGGGGCTGAGAAGTGCCACACCCATCCCTGTATGCTGGGTGTCTTGGAGTTCCACTCTCCCTATGCCAGGCTGAAGCTGTGAAATGAGGATTCTGTGACAACATCTCAACCACCTTCCCACCCATCTGGAGCACGAGGCATAGCTTCAGCCCCACCGTGAGCAGCCACAGCCAGAAACCCCCATGCCAGGTCAGCCTGCTGGTCCCTCGAGACCAATCCCCTCCCTCCAGCAATGCCCAGTACAGTACAGGCTCAGTGCCTCTGGGACCTCTATGGCTTAGGGGCAGTGGCACCCCAGCTGGTGGGCAGCCCTTGCTCATGCCCTCTGACTCGCCCCCCGTGCCATCAGGAGAATCTGTGTGCGGGTTAACAGCAGCGCTGAAACGGCGACGGTTTTCCAGAGCCCGCCTGAGCTGACTCATAGAACAGAGCTCTGCCAGAGATGACAGGGGGATAGAAATCAAGGACCTGATGAGCTTCTCCCGCAATTATTTATTTATTTTGTGCACCATCTTCTCCTTCTGCCTGTTGGCAATGAGAAGAATTCATAAATGATGGTAATAAATGCGGAATGACAGCTAATCTTAATTGACCAAAGCTTCCCTCAAAAGACTGGGTCGTGCTGGATGTAATATGCTCTAAATGTAAAAATATAGGCCAGGAAATTACACTGGTGGTTTTACATGCCTTTAATCAAATGGGTTTTATGCTGCCAAGCAACAAAATCAAGGTGGGATCCATCTGTGAGTGGGATATTTTTCCCCAAAAGAGGAACTCTGCAGTTCAGTGGCCTTTCATTGCTGCTCCATCCTGCCGCCTCTGCTTCCCAAGATCTGCTAATTTGGGCTCCAAAGTGGCATCACTCAGTGGGGTTTTATTTTCTTCTGCCTAATCTATCTTCACCTTTCTGGGCATTCACCACATGCTCAGTGCAGCCACTGTGCTGAAACACCACGGAAAGAGATGTGCCTGAGGGGACCCCCTGTATTTTGCTGGTGATATTTTATCTTGGTGGGTTACTTTTCTCCAAATATAATGCACCATGGACTGTTATTTTTTCCAGAAAACATTTTTCCTCCCAGGAAGTGGGCATTGATAGCAAGATCCCCCCTTATGTTCCATCAACTCCAGCACATTTCTCACAGAAACTAGTGCAGGAATACTTGGGAGATTTTTAGGACTAGAGGGACCTTTAGGGCTTGGGGGAAAGAGGGGGAGGCAGTCACAGCTATTCCCTTCAGGATGGGGAGGCAGTGATTGGAGAAGCCCTGGCACACCTCTCCTCCAGCCAGAGGGTATCCATTATTTTCCAGTGATCCAGGGAACCAGGGTTGCGGTGGCTGCTCGCACCCCTGCCCTGGGCTTGCAGCACCATCTCACTCCCCAAATTACTTCTCTGCGTGGAAGTGTCTGGAACACTGGGGCTGGGACACGTGAAGGATGAGGGCCAAAGGAGAGGGGAAGGTTAGGAAAGAAACCTGAAGACAACAGCATTTTTGCATCCTGCCAGGATGCTCCTGCTTGGGGTTTCTTTCCGCACTTCCCGTCTCGGGTAGGTCCCCTCCCTGCCTGTCATGCCAGCTCAGCTGGGCTCGTACTGCGGCACTTTCCTGAGAACATCCCAGAGACTTCAAAACCTCCTCCTCGTCCTGGCAGAATGACTTGCAGCTTTTCCGAAAACTGGCAAGCAGCCTCAGTGCTTTACCATGGGAAGAAGGTTAACTCCTTCCCTCCTTTTCTCCTTCCCCCCCGCTTCCCTCCCCTTCCCCCCAGCCCACCGCATCATCCTGCTGGTTTGCCTGGGAGCTGGCTGTCGGGAACGACGGAGGAGGAAAGAGTTTATTTTTAAGAGCATTTAGCCCTCACAGCTTCTTGGCTCGGGGTGTCGGGATCGCAGCCTTGTCCCGACAGCCAGAGCTTTCATTCATTCATCTGAGGCCACGAGATAAAATCCTTTGCGCGAGGCTTGTGAAAAGGGCAATTATTGAGGGTTTGGGGGTCTGCTGTTTGCAGGGCGTGGAACACTTAGAAGTGAGGACAAAAGCTTTATCCTTTAGGCACTGCAGGGAGGAGCTGGCAGCGGCTCAAAGGGTGCCCAGCCCCGAAGGAATATTTTAAAGTTTTCCTATTTTGTAGATCTGCGTAAGAGCAACCCGCAGCAATCGCGCAGCAGGTCTCCTGCCTCCGTTTCTTAGCTTTGCCTTGGGCTTGCAGCGTCACCTTCTTCAAGAATACCTGTTTTCCTGGTTAATTTTCAAAAACATTACTTTCCCCCCCCCTCCCCCCTGGCCCCACAGGAAGCTCTGCAGGTACAAAAACCATGGGAGTTCAATGCACTGCAGCTGCAAACCCAGCTAAGCACCTTGGCTCCCTGCTTTGCACACAGGTAAAGCACGACCCTGGTACTGCCTCCATCCCCCTCTGGCCACGGGCTCCTCTGTTCCCCACTCCCCAGGGCATCCCTGGTCCTGGACGCTGCTTTGGTGGGAATAACCACTCTTTGCCCCTGTCAGGATGGTCAGGGTACACGTTGTGTGACAGGAGAGGGATGAGAAGAAGGAAGACCAAGAGACTGCCACGGCAAAGGGGTCTAGCCTGGTAAGACAGACCTTAAACTTTTCCCCCTTTTTCAGACTTGATTCTCACTCCTGCAATGTCAAGATTTCAGATTATTGGGAGACAAATTTAGAATAGATCTGAAAAGTAATTTAGAAACCTAAAAATAGCCTGTGAGCCTGTCTATCCAGTGACTGTAAAACCAGAAGGGAGGAAGGAGAAAAATAGGTTAGGGGCAAAAAGGAATAAACAATTATGAGAGAGGATGGTCATGACAGAGAGAAATCTATCTTGTGTGTGTTCCTGATCACTGGGATCTGGACAGGAAGCTATCTTAACTTGTCTCTGCATACTTTGAGAAAATGTGGCCAGCTATTTTGATATCAAAATTGAGAGATGCCATTTCATGTCACAGTGGATAGCCCTGTGTGACTGCTCACTGCTTCACCCTCTGCACCCTGTCCTGGTTGGTCCTGGGGCCCAGCAGGATGTGATGCCTAATCTTTTCTTCTTTCCCTGAAAATGTCATGGGAAACACCATTTGCCCTGAATGATTAACCAGATGTGGAGCTGGTGGGAATCAAATAGCAAAGGAGAATTTTCTTCAGGACTTTTGGGAAACTGAGTAAACACAACTTCGCCAGTGATGGGGATTTACTGTAGCAGGGTTGGACCTGGAGGTCACTGACAGCCCCTGGCATGGTGAACTAGGTCCAGAGTGCCACCAGGAAATCCAGCCAAGAGCAAAAGCAGATGAGGTTGAAGAAAAGCAGCAATGTTTAAGCGAGGTATTTGTGCCGAGAAGCCACCCACAGCACAGGACTACAGTCCACGCTGCAGGAAGGACCAGAGGCAGGCAACATAATGCAGGCAGGGCTGGCTGCCCCAGGCAGAGCTGGAGCAGGCTTCCTGGTCCCCCATGAGAAAGCATCCCAGTGGGACCTGTGTACTCGACTGCCATCACAGCACCAGAGCCCCCAGGGGGAGTGTGGCATCCCAGGAGGGCATGAGGAGGGGGCGGTGAGGGCTGCAGATGTTTCCTGCTTGCTGAACATGAGCTGCAGAGAGGATATAAATGTTGGTGCCATGAGCTAAGCCTCGCCTCGTATCACGCCTTGCTTTTATAACCTCTTCTTTTTAATATCCTGTTGAGACAAACAGCCTGTGCAAGTGTGCTGGGGGGATCTGCCAAGCAGATGAGCATTTTAGAGGATTTCAATCTGAAAGCTGCTCCAAGAAATTCAGTATTGTAGGAAGTGCTGGGCTGCTAAATTGTTCCTGTCCCAGCACTGAGTCCCTCAGGAGCAAAAGAGAGATATGACATGGGGCCACAGGGTCTGGGCCAGGCACTTGAGTTCAGTGGTAACAGACCAGGGAGAGCAGATTGCAGCAGGACAGGGAGATGATATGCCAAGTGCTGATATGGTTGGTCCAAGGAGTCATAGGGTGCCATGGACATCTCCCAGGTGATCTCCTCAAATGCCACTGGGACACTATACTGCTTTTGTCTAGCTGCAGCTGGTACCCATGGTGATGAATACAGGCATTGTGTAGATTAAACATGGATTTGCATATGGTGACACTGCTGCCCACTATGAGCCTGTGTCATAAGTGCACTCCTGGCTGCAGCAATATCACCTCTCCTATATGTCCCATCAAAGAAAGAGGTGACATCGCTGCAGGTGTTTTTCCTTCCCCTCTCAGCATATATCCCTGCTTCCAGAGAGTGTTATTAGATGTCCAGAAGCACGGGGGGCTGAAGGCCACAAAGGGCAAGAGCCTCTGCTTAACTTGCAGCCATGTCCCCTGATGACTGAGGTCTGGCACAGTTTTCCCCTTGAACTGTGAATCATGCCCTGTTTTTGTAGCAGGTGCTTCTGAGGCAGACACATGGTCATCCCTCATGCAGTCTGTCACCTTAATCCCACCTCCAGCTGGAGACAAGAACACAGACAAGGGGAATGGCATGGGCCAAGGTGTCACCTCTTCTTGCACCATCAGCACCCAGACTAGGAAGGCAGGTGCCCAGTAACACAACGCCCATATGGGCTCTGCAATAGCTGTGGCCATAAATCCTCTAAACTATGGGGTGAACTTTCAGCCTCACAGGCTTGCCCCAGCATCCCTTGGCATCCCGGCCAGCCCCATGATCCTGCTGTAGTAGGGCCAAATCCTGCTGCCTGCTATGGGCTGATCACCATCCTGAGCGGGGCAGCTGATAGAAGGAATCTCACCCTGCCCCAGCTCCCACGGTCACCCACCCTACCATTAAGGTCTGGTGAACTGTCCCTTCCCCTCAGCAGGAGCTGGTGCAGCCTCAGTTGCCCCAGTGAGGAACTGGGCTGACTGGGAATGACCAGTAGGAAGAGTCCTTCCTACTCCCCTGTCCCCAGTTATCCACACCAGGTTCTACTTTGGTGCCTGTCCCAGAAAAAGCCCCACTCTTTTCAAGAAACGTCATTCAGACTACTCATTTGTGTCACTTTGGTGACAGCCTATTTTTGCCGTGCACACTCAGTTCTGTGACTGCTTTCACCTGGGACAACAGGCCCCGGCTGTTGGATTGCCACAGCCCATCTCCTCAGGGTGGTGCCTCCCGGGGGATAGCGGGGTCTGTCCCCACCGGAGCTGCACAGATCTCAGCCTGGGTCGCTCTGTCCTAACAGTGACATGCAGTGGCGGCAGGCTGCAATGGAGGCTGGAGGTACCCTTGTGCTGGTACCTTCACTGTTTTTTACCAAAGGGTTTTCCCAGGGCACGGCCAGCCAGGTGCTCCTGCATCTCCCGGAGCCAGGGGCGAGGCTGGCACAGAAGGGGGGTTCCTGTGGGGTCCATGGCCCGTGTCCCACTCAGCCCATTCCTGGGGCTCTCAACACCTGCCTGTGCCGGAATGGCTGGCAGGAAGGGAGCTTCTCCCTGCCCTCCGTCCCTGTCCGCAGGCGGGCAGGGGGAGCACCCGCCCAGTCCTGGCACATACCCCTGCACTGCTTACCTGCTGCTTGCAGATGAAGTATCTAATGTCTAAGCAGTCCCATTTAAACCCGCAATCAAATTACAGGAGCAAAATTAGAAGCCAGACTGGAGCCACTTTAAAAGTTGCCCCTTATTTAATAATTCTGTCGCAGCTATTTTTTCCTCTTATCACCATTTATTCTCATTCTGGGGCTTGTCTGTAATAATAGAGGAGGTTCATTTGTGTTCCCCCTCCTCTTTCCAACGTCTAGTCTTTCTTTGTGGATTTAATTTCTGCCTTGTGAAAAGGCATTAGAATAAATAAAACAAAGATGCAGTACTACAGGGATCTACATTAATGGGATGGCGTCACACTCACCCCTTCTACAGCCTGCCCTTTCCCATATAACAGGCGTGAACCAAACGGCTGGAATCCCTGTTTCAGCCCTGCCCCATGCCTTTAGGTGTCAATCTGTCAAGCGTAGAAGAAGAAATTGCAGTGCAGCTCTTTCTTTAAAAGCAGCGCCGTGCAGAAGCAGGAGCCCGGAGGAAGTGCCGGGGCGGTTTGGGAGCGCCGTGTCCCCTCTAGTGGGGTCTGCGGAGAACTGATGGAGCACAGGAGAGAGTCCTCAGCTTCTCAGCCGATGGGAAAGGAGAGGACAGTCTCCCCCTCCCTCCCTGCTCCTGCCATCCCCTGCTCCACGATGGACATACTGGGATGGTAGGGATGTGCAGCCCCAGCTGGGAGCTGGCTGGCACTGAAGGAGCCGGGGGAAATACTGTTGTAATAATTTGCCTATCAATTAAAGATGTGACTTGATGAGAGATCGGATTCACTCACCTGACTGGATATTCATCTGTTTCCAGATATTGCTGGGATAAAAAGAAATGCATTAATTTTCTCACTAACCCTCCCGCATTTTAGCAGAAACTATTTCTAGAACCCTCATAAAACAAATCTATAGGCATTCTACAACAGGCAAACACTATTGTGTACTTAGCAGCTGCTGTCCCCCAAACTGCTGCTGAAATCTTCCTGTAGTCAAAAAAAACCCAAAATAGTTTATGCATCATTTTGATGACACACCTAATTCTTGTTTTCTGTGAACAAAGCATGGCTCTAACTAACGTGCTCAGGCAAGCTTTGCTGTCAGGAACTATGGCAGGTGTCACACAGCCTAGGAGCTGCTTCAGGATGATGCACAAAATCCCAGTGCAGCCCAATCCTGCCTGTGCAGAAGAGTTATCCATTGGCATGGGGGCTGAGGCATGGGAGATCTCCATGAAGATAATTCAGGTTGGATGCAGCTTTCAGGGCTGGAACTAGAAAATCTTAGAAGTTTATTACAACCCAACCCATTCTGTGATTCTAAAACTTTGGGCCAGGAAGATATACGCCCGACTGGGGAACCTCCTGCATGGGCAGGCCTCTTGCTGAGCACAGGGCAGGGCTGAAAGCTAGGAGTCAGTGCCAGGGGATGAGCCAGCTGGCTTCTCACTTTTCTCTATGCTTTACCTGCACCCAATATTGCTCTGCCAAGTTCCTTCACAGAAACAGCCATAGTGGCTTCAGCTGCGAGCAGGCTCAGTGCTGGTGGAATGCTTGGAGAGAGGTGTGCCAAGAGGCTCAAAGGCTTCATCCTGCAGCTCAGGGAGCTGGACACAGGGAAATAAATTGTGAGCAAATCCAACAACAGCATGGTGCCCAGGCCCTGCAAGCTAGGAAACAAACCAGGATCAAGTGCTGGATGGAGCTCAGCATCCCACCACTCTCAGGAATCACCATATGCTGGTCTTTCTTCCCCCATGCATGACCCCATTACCAGAGTCTTCCTTCCACTGTGCTTGGCAGGTTATTTTCCTTTACTCTGTACTTACCAAAGCATCTGCTGGGGGTACTCATGAGGCAGAACTGGCCATGGCACATGACTGAACACTGACACTGAACTCAGTGTCCAGCAGAACAAGCAATCTCACTCCTGGCAGACACCAAGAATGTGAACCTTGGGTAGCTAAGAGTAATAATCTCATTATCAGAGGGGGTCTCTAGCTGGGGGATTTGCATGGACTGAGCTCTTTAGCCTCCATTTTAGGTCTGAACTCTGAGTGAGTGTGAGAAACCTTAAATAAAGTCAAAGCAGAAAGGCAGGTGGGTATCAGGCAAGCATTTAAATATCAAAACACTACAAAGGAAGTGACAGCCGCACCTCGCTCCATTCACAGCTCCAGTCATTTACACATCAAGTAGGTGAATTCGAGAGTGCAGAAATAGACCTGTAAATATATGGAGATCCTGCTTTTGCAGTAGTTCATTTTCAAAGCACTTAGCATGCATTTGGGGTCACACCCCATTTCACAGCCCTGCCCTGCTTCCCAAAACTAAGTTTCAGTTTCTAGCTATCCTCTGCAAGTGAAGCATAAAATGCAAGCAAACACCTAACTTGTAGCGTTGTCACTGCTTTCATCTTGCTGCTAATTACTAATGCAAATTATGTACGTCTAAAAATGTCTTCAGTACATTCCTGCTACTTGTGCTTCTTGTTTTTAAAGTATATGTAGCAAATATTTCCATATTTTACACTTCTACATTCTACTACCCACATCCAAACCTTAAGGTAGGATATCCCTGTGATCAAAAGCAACAAGGTAAACTGGAACAGAGCCACTCCTCTTATAAAAGATGAATTTTAGCGTATGATCTTTAATGATAAGTCTTGTTGTACATCTTGATTTTTCATCTTACCTCAGTGACCCTCCATCATATGCTTTGCCATCACCTCACTTCTGATTTGTGAAATTCAGTTTCTCATGATTTCTTGAGGGCTGCATGAGAGGTAAATCTTTAAGGTTCCTGTCCAATTACCAGTCTGAGGGAATGGTGTCCAGCTTGGGAAAAAGCAGTTGGATTCCAAGGACAAGCTTTAGTCAAAGGAGGGATACCAAAATTTTCAAGTGCCCCATACAGTGGGGATCCAAGCTTTCCAACCAGACTAGCCTCCAGCTGGCACTGCAGGTGTTCTTACCTTGGTAAGCTGTGTTATTTGCACACTAAACACCCCAAACCTTTCCCTCACCATTTCTCTTATACTCCTCCAGAGCTGACTGGCTCTTGAATGTTCTCACCCCAAAGCTCTTAAGCTGAATTTTGCTGTTTCCAGCTGCCTCACTTTTTTCTAGTTCTTACTGTTCCCTGTGCTGTAGGCTGTCATTCCAGCCACCTGCCTCTGCTCTCCACACTGGTCTGCCCACCACCTGCCTGAAAAGCTGAAGGCTCCATCCATTTCCATCTGCTTCCACTAACACCAGAAGGCAGTTGCTGCACACACCTGTGTCCTGTTCTGATCTTACCAGTCCCACTAAAATGTGTCTCCCTTCAGCTCCTGTAGTGCCTCATCCTTTCACAAGTTTCACTTGTGTTTCCTACAAAACATAAATCCCTCCATGAAGGCTTCAAGGCAACATGGCTGTGCTGCCATGCTCAAAGACTGCAGGATGGGTTGATGGTCAAATGGCCAGAAGAACCCAACAAAATTACAGATGTGCCAAGGAGCCCCAAGAAATTACCCATTTAAAAGTAGTTGACTGTGAGTCTTAAGATTCCGTAGGTTCAGGTTTTAATGAATGCTAACAAAACAGGCATTCCTGAAAATATCTGCCCATACATTAATTCCAGGTATTTTTATTGCATTTAGTCTTGTTTTCATCCCACTGAAAAAGCTGAGTAACTGTGATCTGGAAAGACTGGGAATTTAAGGAACCACAATGACCACAAAAAGCATTTCAGACAGAGACTGGCACATCAGTTCAGCACAAACAGTTGCAGTAACCTTAAAAAGATAACTTGTAAAATGAAAGGCCAGCATTGATTTAATCCAAGTGAAACCAGATGATGACATTTCTCTTGCCTGGACACATTTTTCAAAGATCAACACATATGAATTCACATTTTCCACTTTTATTTCACAATCAGATACAAACAGAGGCTTCCTTGTGATGGTTGCAAACATTTTATTATAGAGTCTTATCAACAAGTTCTCTGAAAATCAGTTTTTCAAAACTAAAATCTAATCTGGCAGGGTTCAATAAGTAACAAGATGAACTCAGCCATGGCAAACAAAATATTACTAAGTTACTTTAAATAAATATTATCACAACTTCAGGAAGAGTGTGTCCTGGAGATTTAAGCAGCTTATCTCAAATTTTTATTAATATTTTGGATTATTTTTGTTATGCTCTAGCTTCTGGTACACAGCTGTCTTCATTTTGATGTTAGAATGGGATAGATCTTTGGGTGCCTTTATGTCTATTATTCTTGTCTTATTTTATAGTGCTGTAATAAAAATAGCATCACCAGCATTCAGTGCTCACCACAGTACATTTTAACAACTGGTCACTGCACTGAAACAGAACTTCTGGAGAAACTGAGATTATTTCCAGGCAGTAATTACTCACAAAAGGTCTAGCTCCCAAGTCTTTTCAGCCATTCATTTTCTGTTCAGCACCTCCTATGACATTTATTAAAGTATTTGATTAGATTATGTTGCACACAGCAGGACATTCAGAATTCCATCTTGATCTTCACAGTAGCATCTAATACTTCCTGGAAGATAACATGGAATCCTTTTCCTTATACATACAAACAGCATTCTCAACTTGCAGCTACTTGTTGACAAACGCTTGCCAGCTTCAGTTAAATACAAGGGAACCTATGAACATTGAGACATTTGAGAATAAGCATTAATGTATTTTTACCGTATTTTGGATAATTTACCTCAACCTAGTAATAACTCTTGATTTCCAGGGTTTAATTGCACATAATTTTTAAAAAAAGCAATATAATGTCTTAACATTAATAAAATATAACATTTAAGAATTTTTTTATTGTGCAAAACATAAGCAATAAGTCTTATTAGTACAATAAGCTGAAAAAGCAAGGTACATTTAAAACAATATTCACATCCAGTGTGCAAGTTTTATCCCTACTTCCAACTTTTGATGTGGAATCTACAATTCCCATCAGTAAGTGCTATCACAAAATCCCAATAATTTGTTTCACCTTTTATTATTTGTAGGAGAGTCAAAATTTATTTTTGCATTAGGTTTTTATGCACAACTAAACCAGCTGTTTAAGTTGATAAATACAAAATAAGACACTGAAAAGGGTGAAAAATAACAACATGCTGAAGGCATCCACCTAAATGGTGGCATGACTGATAATTTATAGCTTATATTAAAAAATTGAATTGATAATTGATAATTCTGATTTTCCATTTTCAAGATTTTAGCAAATAACCCAAAATTTTGTTTTACAGTTCTAGCATCTGCTAATTGAAAAAGTAATTTAATTCAATACTTTTTTTAAATTAAAATATCTATCTTGCTAGATATGAAGTGCTACCAGTCACGGCAGTCACAAAAACTGTTTGATGTTTACATAGCACCATATAGATAAATATCTCCTTCAGTAAGAGAGACTATGTTCTACTGGGGAGCATAATCACATTATCTCCTGAATATTTTAGGTATCTTTGCCTTCCACATCATAAATATGTGCAACGATTCCTTAATTTGAGAAAAAAATGCACATAATTCAAGCTTTAAGATGGTGCTATCATTAATTCAAATTCTCTGTATAAAAGTATCACAGACTCTTCAGTAGTCAATTGAATATTCAAAA